TTTAAACATTTAGGTTTTATAACACTGTGTTCCATTTGATTTTTCCCCTCACCAAATTGTCATCTCTCCCCCACTCAACAAAAGAATAAAGGATGATAGTAAATATTATACTCAAGACTGGATTAAGCCAGAATTATTATCAAATTGAAAGACAGTGACTTAATACTATTAAGTCCCATGAATGAGACTGTGATTAATTTACCAAGGCAGGGAATACTAGTTAATGTAAATTTTCCAGGAAAAAGTAACGTAAGTAATCCTAACTTAAGGCATCAGAAAACATTTAATTATGCACGCAAGTGTAGACAATCAAACTCATGGATGTTTTATAAGAGATCTGTCATGCAGAAGGTAATAGACTTCCAGAGGAGTTTCAAAGTACTGGAGAGACAGACTTTGGGGAGATGAAAGGTGGATTTGGGGGACTGGGGGAGGCAGGGAGAAGGGGTGAGAAAGAGGAAGTACAAAGGATCAAGATGACATGTATAATGACCAATTCCCCACCATGAGAGTGTTTGCTGTATATCAAAGAAATGTATATTAATAAAAATGTTAAAATAAAAGTAATAATGCTAAATAAGATAAAAATAATCCCATAAATCATTTTTTACTAACATTTATAACTCTCACATACAGTTCAAGGACAAATTACTAACTCAAGACCTAATAGATTTCATTTTAGCAAATATACACTGAACATAACATGGTACAATTAAAAGAGAGTAGGCTTCCATCTATAGCTGTGAGCTCAAGTACTGGTTCTTCCAAATATCCACATATAGGCTCTTGGTCTTATTGTCCTTCAGTTTTTTATCTGCAAAATGGGCTTTTAAGCCATGCCCTATTTCAAAAGTTGTCTTGTTGAACAATATAAGTAATACAGTGCTATTCCAAAGGTATTACTTTACCTATTATTACTGCCCTTTGGATAAACACACTATTTCAAAATCAAACTAATGTCTTATTTTTGACATATAAATGACCATTAAGTATTTTAAATCCTTCTTTAACTAACCAGGAGTTTCAGGATCAGCTTTTGAGGCCAGAATTTTGAGCAGAGGCCAAGATAATTCAGCTGCCAACTACAAAGTAGTACAGGCGTGTGCCAAAAATATTACTCACTTTTGAATGGGAAATGCCAAAGCAAGTCTTAGGTGGTTTTATAGTTGTTTTTCAACATATCACATCTCACTTGTAATTCTGAGCTATCAGAATAATAAGTATCAATTGTTTTTCAAGCCAGGGATATTGATCTAGTTAAAACAAATTTGAGGATGGGGAGTATTTTCAGAAAACCTAAAGACTTATGCCTCGAAATCATGGACAGAACAGACTGAAATAAACACAGGTGACTGAAGACCGACCTTCTGTACTTAGCCCCTCCAGGTCTGTCTCTGTACTGACAGCTTCCAGGAAATTCAGAAGTGTCAACAGGACCTTTGGGACAATGGTCAGAGCAATGCTTGAGATATTTGATGGCTTGTCATTGTACAACTGATTGAGAAATCCATTGTAACTCTTAGTCCTCCTTACTCTGGGATCAGATTAGCAGATGGGGTTTGTTCAAAGCAGACTATTATATCTCCAAATTCCAAACAGCTAGAATCTCAGATGATCTGGGGAGGAAGTAGAGCTCTGAAATAGGATGTGAAGGCCTCTGCTTCTGCCAGAAGAAAAGGGGGATCCTTTTCTGGTTTTGCACTGGCATCCTAGGGGCAAGCAGAGCCCATCTGAAATTGGAATGTTATAGCAAACAGCTGTGAGTGACTCAGAACTGGTGGGAAGCTTAATAAATAAAAATGCTTGGAAGGTTATACAGTAAGGCAGACTATCTTCAAGGTATGCAGCCTTTAAAGAAGATAATGTTTTAAAAACTAACTCACAGCCATTACTTCAACCAAATACAGTGTTTCAAGTTTATATTCCCCTTACGTGGGAGTCTATGCTAAACTACTTCTTACATCTCAGTAAGGAGTTTGGATTTTATTCAAAAAGAACAATCTACCTGTCATATTGGTCATTCAAGATGTATATATCCCTACTAGTCACAAAGATATTGCCAAGTTTAATTTCTGTAACTCGTATAATGAAAACCACAAATGTATTGGGTTTGTACCTCTGGAATTACTAGCCCTATCTGCTTTGAAATAGTCCTGCACCATAGAGAGACAATTAAGATTTTAAGCGGGAGTGTGGCACAGCTGCTTTAGCAAGCACTGGAAGAAGGTGAGGGTAGGGAAAGGAAGCTTTGTCAGGAGATTACAGTGACACCAGTTACAGACCACAGTGGCTTGGGATTAACATACATGGAGAGACAGATCTAACAGGTACTTAGAATTGGTTGGAGGTCAGACTAATTGAATGTGGAGGAAGGACAAATATATCTAGGTTTCTGATTTTGAAAACTAGTGAGTGGTGGTGCCATTAATTAAAAAGCCAGAAATAAACTTTCTTTGAGGATGGGAAAGATGTTTGTTCAGATCTGTGCATGTTGCATCAGATAATGACTTTTTTCTCAGTGAGAGAGTAGATTGGTCTGGGTCATAGTCATGGTGGGCAGCTCTTGTGGTTAGAACTAAAATATCCCCCGAAAGCATCACATGTTCACAGGTGGGCTTTGGGGAGATGATTGTCTCATGGGGTTACATTGTTAAATGTGATGTTAGAAGGTGGGGCCTGTTTGAAGGATGTGGGTCATTGGACGTGTGACCTGGAGAAGGATGCTACTGACCCCAGCTTCTCCGTTGGCTCCCTCTGCTTCCTGGCTTCCAGAAGCTGAGTAGTTTTCCTCCACTAGGCCTTCCTGCCATGTCCTTTCCACCTTGGAACCAGGTTACTTTGGACTGAACCCTCTGAAACTGTGACCCAAAGTAAACTTCTCTGTCTTAAACTGTAGGTGTTGGGTACTTTGTCCGTGACAGGAAAGTGACTAACACAGAAGCCCTTATGTGAGTGAGTCCTCAATGGGCCCCATTTTCTGACATTCAGAATTTATGCAGTACCCTCTGCCTTGTGTGATTTGCTTCTAACAGCACATACAAACACTGAGATGTCTCTTCCATGATTACATTGCAAAAGGTTGTGAATCCTGTCTTGCCAGTGCAGTTTCTCTGCTTTCACAGCTCATAGCCTCTGATGCAGCAAAGTGTCATGCTGGAGAGGCCCACATGCGAAGGCACTGAGGATGGCCTTTTGCCAGCAACCAGCAAAGAACAGGCTTGATCCAAGTGCCTGCAGAAACTGAATTATTTTTACCATCTCTGAAGGAGATTTTCCTATTGAAATTTCACATTCTCCTGTAGACCAGTGATGATGAGCCTTTGAGAGCTTTGAATGGTAACAAACAGCCACCTGCAGCACTCATGCCATAGCTTTGCCACCACTGGATAGACCCTAGGCTCACACTTTGAGTAGCCTTGGGAAAAAAGCAAAGAACCTGGTGAAAAATGTGCCTGAATTTCTGACCCAAAGAAACTAAAACACTGAAGTACACTGGTTTATGCCACTGAATGCTGGAGAAATTTGTTATGCCATGACATAATTAAGGCAAGAGCTTTGGCGATGGAGGCATCTGTAACTCATAAGTACACAGATTATGTACACTAAGCCTGAGCAAGCTCCCTCATACAATGTGTGGTAATGGGAAAATAAACTTGGTACAGAATAATAGAATTTAACGAATAGATAAAAGACTGGGAGCCTGCAAAGAAAACTTTAAAGAAATAGTTCAGAGATCAGAAAAGCAGGAATTGCAAGGTTAGGCATGACCAAATATTAAATGCTGAGACAAAGACAGAACCATTTCCTGTAAGGAGAATTTCACTTCTCTTGATGTGAACAATTTCAAAGATAAGACCTGGAAGAAGGCAGATTCTAATAGGCTGACGAGAAAACACAAGGTGAGGAGATGAAAGAATCTATTTTGAAGGAACTTAGCTGTTGAAAGAAGAAATAAGTGGAGTCCTATTTGCATAAGTGAAAGGTTGGCAGTCTTTGTGTGAAGGAAGAAAGCTTGAGCATATTTATTTGATGCGGCCATGCAAATTGTCATTACATTGTCTGTTATTTACACTATAGCCATTTTATGTAAAAAAATTAAGATCATAACTTGTTCAGTGATTCATAAACTTCCTGCCCCTTTGAAGGCCCCTACATGTCCATTGGCATTTTATATAATAACACACAGTATTTTCCCACATTTTATGACATGAATATTTCTTAATGTTATTGTCAAACTTGTGTACTATAAGTGATCTATTTCCTATTTGTCGGACCTCTAGGTTGTTTCCAGCTTTTTATAACTGTAAATAATCCTGTGATTAATTACACAAACTTGCTCCAAAACAAAAACAGAGGGTCTTCCCATAAAAGATGTTTTATGGATGATTTTTAATGCCAGGACTTCTCAGGCTAAGGGCTCTGAAGTGACTTCAATAGAAATTCATGCCAAAACTGCTGGGCCTCCTTTATTCTTATATTATGGCAAACTACAAAAGTCCAGAAAGTGGGTAGTTCAAATAAACAGTAAGAAATCAAGTGCCTAGATTGAATCAAAACTTTCTGAGAACCCAAATATGTTCTGTGAACCCATTCTGGGTTAATGTCTTTCTCCCAGCGTCCTGAGGGACATGAAATTGAAATATAGCAGAAAGGGCATCAACCATCTTTCTACCTTTATTTATGTATGTATGTATGTATGTATGTATGTATGTATGTATTTTCAATCAGAAGGACTGTTGCTCCCCTTATTACCTCCTTTGTTATTGCATCCAAGTAAAATAAGCTACTCTTCCTTGAAGGGCTGAGTGTACTGATCGAAAATATCTTTTATTTGAGTTTATAGAAATTGTTAAAATCTGCTGAACATTGTGTTTGCAGAATCCTTCCTGTGAATTGCTGTCACATTTCTGATTAGTCCCCTGTTGAAAGGAAAAGCTAAAAGCCAACATACTTAAAAGAAGGCCTATCATTCCTTTCTCACAGCCTCCTTTCTGACTTACCTTCTCTCTAAAGTGAGGCCACCTGCGATGGTTTGGATGGGTTCTGTCCTCACCAAAGCTAAGGCTGAAGTATGGCCCTCAATGCAGCAGCATCACAAGCATGGAGTAGAGGAAGCTGTTTGCGTCCTAAGGGTGGAGGATCATGACTGGATTCGTGACCTCTTCCAGTGAGTGCGCTCTTGCCCCCACATGACTAGATTAGTCACAAGAGCGGGTGATTAAAAGGAAGTCCATCCCTCTTTGTCTCTTTCATATTTGTCTGGCTCCTTTCCACTTTCCACCATGAGTTGAAGCAGGACAGAACCCTCAGCAGAAGCTGGTATTTTTAGACTTCCCAGCCTGCAGGACTGTGAGCCAAAATAAACCTCTTTTCTTTAAAAGTTACCCCAAACAGAAAGTGGACCAATCCTTCTTTTATTTATATTTTAAGATGCTGAAAGTGTATTCTTAGACCTTGGGATTTGTGCAAATATGAGAGATTCCTACAAGAAGAAAAGGAAGAGCAAAAGAAAACTAGGGCCTGAAAAAATCAACACACCCCAGGGGAAGTCATAGGAAGGACATCTGGAGGGAAGTACAGATAGTTAAGAGTTACTATTCTAGGAAAAAGAGGTGTGGGTTCAAGTCCCAAGTAAATGTGTGAGCTCTGTGATTTGGTACAAGTTACTTAACTAGTCCTATTCCTTATCTATAAAACAGGATCTTTATAAGGATTTAAATGAGACATCGTATGTAAAAGGCTTACCATATCACCTGGTACAAAGTGAGACCTTGGTAAATGGTAGCTATTATTATCACTACTTATTGTTATGGTTGATACATTGTGCCAACTTGGGGAGTCTAGAGGTTTGGCTAAGTGACTCAGCAGATCTGCCTCTTGGGGTGAAAAGGACATGCCCTTTCCCTTCTGGGATGTTGTTTATTGTGTTAATTTGAGAAGTTTAGAAGGTTAACTATGCAACTCAGAAGGGGTCAGGGTGCTTAATTTGTATTCATCCTGAGCCTGTGCAAGAGGCAGGCATGCAGAGGGTGTGGGTGTGGAGGACCACCCCCACCTCCCCAGAGCGGGTAGACTGCATAATAAAAGGAATTGAGGAAGGACTGGCTGCTGGTTCTTCAGAGGAGCTCTGGGTCTTCACCTTCAGCTTGGTCGTCTCCTGGCTTCTGGTGCAGACTGTTGGGCTTCCGTCTGGACTCTTCAGCCTTCTGGTGTTAGCTCTCCGGCCTTCATCATAGATTCTTCAGCATTCCGTCACAGACCCATCAGCCTTTTGATACGGACTTGCATGGACACTGCAGCAAGCTCCAGGCCCGGGGCTGGGCTCTTCAATCTCCAGCATGCAGACACCCTCTGCATGCTTCCTCATCCAACTCTGTAGCTGACCATTGTAAGCCAAACTTGTAATTCCTTGTACATTTGTTTATCTTGTATTATATCTGTTCCTCTAGTAAACCCTGACTGATACACTTATTAAGACAGAAATAGTTGAGTGCAAACATAAAACACAATTTTTCCATTGGAAATGTTCCCTAGTGAAGCTGGTTCTGTGGCAGTCAATGTAAGGATGTAGCAATGAGTTTCAAGGGGAGGGGCTGTGGGACTTCATCATGCGGTTCCTGTGGCTGACAGCAGCACAGTGATGGCATTCCAACTGTGCAAGGTGCAGAAGCTCCCTCCATTCTCAGGAGTACGAGATTTCCCTGAACAGTGTGGTCTCTAGTGATGATGATAATGGGACTGCATCCCAACTTCAGAGAAACTAAGAAGGAACAGGAGCCAAGGGAACCACAATGGTTTCAGAACAAATGGGGAGCTCAGTCCCAAACACATCTGTCACCCAGTGGGTTGTAGTTCAAACCTATTATCTAACTGGTACAGTGCCTTAAATTCTACCTGCCAAGCCTTCTCAGTGGTTCTTCCCTGCCTGTAAGTGAAAGGAAACAGCAAAACTAGCTGAACTTTGGGATGACTAACTACTGACTAGGAGAAAAATTACCTGTATACAGAGAAGTTTATAGCACCAGGGCTTTTATAAGCTTCAATGAACCTGATAAAATTTTTTACAAACTGTAGGAGTATGGGCATTTTTCTTGGGAAAGGATCTATAGTTTTCATCAGTCTCAAAAGGGCCCATTAACTGCCAGGAGTAAAGGATCAATGCTTTAACCAAATGCTTTCTTAAAGTAAAAATGCTTTAATCTTCCTTCTTATTCTTTGCTTGATAAGACGTTTGATAAGTTGAATGGTGTGGTCACATTTTATGGCAAGACTTTCTCACATACATGACCCTACAATTATTCCTATACTTTTCCATTTTAATGAAGATTTAATGCAATTTATTGTCCACAAATGAACCTCTCTCTCACAAAGTATAGCTGTGCATTTAATAAATTATATATCTTTTAAACATAAGGTCAGTGGGAAGGAGTTCCTACCCATTGGGCGAAAGAGGTTCAGTCTGTCATCCTGAAACTAAAGGGCTACTTTTGTTCTGTCTCATTGTTCATACTTTCTCCCATGCTGGTGGTTGCATATGCATTTTACTTCTATTTTTGGCTTGTGAAAGCTCAGCTCAAAGTTCTGTACACTTTTTGGAAGTTTGTCAGATAAAATCAACTCAGATAATTCTCTCTATCCTCCACAGTCTGTAACAGTCATGTTGGTGCTAGGAAAGAGCACAAGGGAGTCAGTATACGGTTAATGTAGCATTTTCAACATCAGCACTATTGATATTTTGGCTAAATAATTCTTTACATGGTGGACTGTCCTGCACTTACACAATGTTTAGCGATATACCTGGCCTTCACCAACAAGATACTGTATCATGCTCCCCTACCCCCAAATGTAACAATCTCAAAGATCTTCAGACACTGTCAAATGGCCCTGAGGAGCAAACTGCCTCTAGGTGAGAACAACTCCAGAAGGGTGAGCATCAGACTTTTGTTCATAGTCATTTCCTACTTTCTTCCCCTTCACTTTCCTTCAATTCAGTTCATTCATTTATTTTTAACTTATTTTATATTGCATCTTCATAGAGCACTTTAACCCTCTTTTTAAAAACAAGATATGTAGTATATAAAGAACACTCATTGCTTTTCAGAACTTGCCACGATCCTTTAAAACTATTTTGGTTTTTTTGGTACTGGGAATCCAACTCAGGACCTTGTGCTTGCCAGGTAGGTGCTGTGCCCTTGAGCCATATTCCCAGCACTGACCCTTTAAAACTAGAAACTAACATCACCTATTCATAACTAAAGACACAGGCAGTTAGAGATTTCTCTTCAATTACTGAACAAACTGAAAAATATCAAACACTGGTGGATCATAGATTCACAGCCAGGACTGTCTGACTTTAAGGTCTGATACTTTTGTGGCATAATGCTGTATTGTTTACTCTCTTAGTTGTATGATTTTGACTCCACTCAGTTTTAGCCTGCAGGAGTAGGAGCATGCCTGCTATCTTTTGGGGATAGTGTCTTCTTACAATGGCACGTGAATAATCAATCTTAAGGAAAAATGGGGCTTTTCTTTTTGCTTTCCAGAAACTCCATAAGAAAGAATGGGGGGCATAAAATATGACACAAAACATTCATTTCCTATCATTTATCTTAAACTATGCTGAAACCATTCAATACCTTTAAAGGATCAGAAAATATATTACAGAAAAAAACCATCTAAATGATTACTTTAATGTACAACCTTAGTTACATGGCATTTCCCTTTTTCCCTCAAGGGAAGGTTATTTCTCTAATTTATTTCTTTTCAATTGATTGCTAGGATTTCAATCTCTTTAGACCTTTTGCATTAAAAGGAGAATAGGTCTGCTAGTTTTTTTCCTCAATTTGAGGAATGTGAATTTATCACACTGCCCCCATTTAACAGCCTTCAAAACTGAATTTCAAAAGCAAATTTCTTTCAGGACAGAAAGTTCAAAATCAAAGTATTACATCAGCATCACAGGCATAAAGTTGGAAGAGGAGAGGTTAAATTAGTTACTTACGCTTACTTCTAAAAGGTATTGGTAGAACACGGATCTTTATAAATAAACCTCTGAAAGGAATAATAAAGCACTTACAAAGGCATGGGTGCCATTTTCTTTCTGAAAGCAACTCTGTCTTCTGTGATTTTTGTTGGCTGTTACCGTGAGGGCAACAAATGGCACGGTCAGGTTTGCTAAGGTTTCAATTATTTTATAGCCTAGGCAGTTTCAGGAAAGCATGTTCTTCCAATCGGAATTACAATTCAATAAGGTCAATAGAGTACAGCTACTATTTCATTAGGCCCTTTGGCTACCTGCCATCACCCGTCCACTCCATCAAGTTACCATACTTCCCGCCGGAGCAGAAGATCCCCATATATCTGTAGCTCTGCAATTTTGGTCAGGAAATTTCACTTCAGGAAAACAAGCATTTAGTAGTTAAAAGATATAACCATTAACATCGTTTTATTTAAAAGGAAACTATTCAAGTAAAGCTTCTAAGCCACCACCTATAGATCGAATGAGTATGGAATGCTTGCCCCCAAAAAGAGAAGAGGATTTCTGGGAGCTGAAAAAGATCTTAGAAATGATTTCACAGAATAAATAGAATATATGCCTCACAACACTTAGAGTTCTTACATTTTTTTCTTAGTTGGTACAGTAAAATGTTCTGGGCATACTGAAGTCTATATTTACCTTTACTAGCTAGAACTCAGGCATGCCACTTTACCTCTGGTTTTATTCAAGAGCAGAGGTGGACTATAACACCTTCAGGACCTAATGTTGTGTAACTGTTTTGTGCTTACTTTATTTTAATGCTATTGAGAGTTAGAATAGGAAAATCAACTGTTATAACCTTAGATCAACCTTAACCTTTTTCACTTCAATGTTGCAGTAGATTTACTCTGCAAGGGGCTTGTTACTAAGAGGTCCCTTCAACTCTCAAACTTGATCTTTTTTTCTCCCCGAGATAGGCAATTAGGGCATGGCCAAGCTGGCTGGGGAAGTAGGTGTGATCTGTTAATTACAACATTCCTGAAGAACACATATGCAGAACAGCTCCCAAAGTCCTGCACCTGCACTTCCCTTGAGAACTCAAGCAGGTTTTCGGTAGGATGACCTACATCTGATGTTAGCCTGAGGCATGGAATCCCAGCACTGCCTCTCAGGACCAAATATAGAAGAGTTCTTGTGGGTTTCCTCAAGATTTGGACAGTATAAAAGGACACAGATGCCAAAAAGAGCTTGCTATCGTGGCTTTCCTCATAACAAACCTGCATTCTCTAGGATGTACTTTTATCTTGCTTTTTCTTTTTTCTCAGCCCAAGATGCATAGCCCACTTTTTCTCACTTCTCTCTTACTCAGATTTTACTCCACCCTGGCTCAGTCTGCAGAGGCAGGTTTTCCCACTGCTCTTTGCTCATTTTGTTCAATTCTTGGAGATGAGATGCTACAATCTAACTCCAGAAGGACAGGAGAACAACTGAACCCAGTAATGTTTATTTGGCCACTTTAGGAGACACTACCACTAACATCCCCACAGCTAGCAGCATAATCTCCCTAACCAAAATGCTCTCCCTAATTTAGTTTGTAAGTATTTTTTCTTGCGGTTTTTCTTGTGTGTGTCTCCCCTGTGGGGTCCTCACTTAAAAAAGAAACCTCATAAACCCTCTTGTAGTAGGGTAGAATTAACCTTAAATGCTTTCCATAGCAAAATATCATTTTACCATTTAAATTCAGGAAAAGATCACCTGAGTAGCAGTTAATTCTTATATACTCCCACCCCATGCCAACCACTGTTCTACATGCTTTGTGCATGTGAAAGCACTGGATTCTCTGAGAACTCTGTGAAGTAGTATTTATATCCTTTCCTAATTCTACTCAGTTCCTAAGTTCAGTGGTTGGAAGTTGGATAGAGTTGAGCAAGTGTGGATGACCAGGAAAACTGTAGAACCTAAATCCTTTTTAGGTTCCCTACTTAGGGCGAGAGAGGCTTGACATTAGCTGGCAAGCATTGTCATTTAAAATTACAAATGCAAATCCATTTGCTTCCTTCCTTGCACTCACAGGAGCATAAAGACAGAGCATTCACAGTGAGCGATAACTCCATTATCTGGTGAACAGCATGAAACACAGGAGGAAACAGAAGCAAAAGCAGGCTCAGGAAAATGTCTAGGATTTCACAGCAAGTGTCAGAACCGGAATCTTACCAGGCACTATGGCTCCAGAGTGCAACTTTTCTTTTCTCCCTGGTGGCTTGTCATGCCATCTGTGTGTGCTTTCCTGTAGATTTTCTGAGAATGTCTTTAAGGAGATGAATCACAGGTCTCATCCTATTGTTTCCAGAGCTCAATTTGTCAACATTCTGATTATATTTCAAACAGCACCAATATAAACAAATTTTAGGTAATGAAACTTGCTTTTTGTATAGATCAACAGTCTAACTATATGACTTATGGAACCATCCACTAAAGAACTGTCTTAATGAATACAGTAGGAAGAAAGAAGTGATGTGCTTTATAGGAAGAGCTGTGTCCATGTACACACTACCAGGCTCTAAAACTTGAGTTCTTGGTCTTGGCAATTCCATTTGTAACCTCTGAAAATGTACAGCATCTTCCAATCATTGCTTGTTCCAAATAATCATGCTTTTAAGGACTGGTTCCCACAGCCAGTTAGGTTTACACCTATATTTAGCCTCCTAAATTTTCCTAAAGCATTTAATGACTAATGCCAATAATTTTCCTTTAGAGTACAGACAGCACACTCATGAAATCATGCAAGAGTACAGGTGCTCTGCATTTAAATGAGTAGCTCTGACACAAGTTTGCTGACTACAGTCCAACTAGTCAACCAGAAGATAAACTCATGCTTACATCTAAATCTTAATTTGTGAAAATTAAGATTTAAACAGGTAGTATCTTTATAAATTTTAGTGAAAAGTAACAAGCTTGATTTTTAGCCTATCTGCACTTTCATGTATCAGCAAGACCACACACACACACACACACATATGAACTAAAATTACATTCAAACAGTAACAAAGAAAGCATACCTTGTTAAAGGCCTTCCAATGATAAGAGCCATTGCTGTACTTATAATTATAGTGTCTGCTTCTTTGTCGGCGTGTGGTCAAAGTTCAAAAGCATGAGGCAGATGGGAGAGGCCCAAGAAGCCACACTTTGAGCATAGGGCATAGTCTTGCAGTGCCATTTTAAGTATAGCAAAACTGTAGTTTTAGGATTGTGTACCACAAAAAAAAATACATGAGGTTTGATACTAAACTAAGAGATGTAGAATGTCAAGGTGAAATTTCCAAGCACACAGCCAATATGCCTGGTGATTATAGATGCTCAGGTGAGATGTGCTCTAAGGCAACCTAGGACGCTGCATTAGGAAGATTTAATCATGATTCCATCGCTGACCAGCTGTGTGACCTAGGATGTGGCACTTGCTCTTTTTCAAAGCTATGGTATCTTTATTTGTGCAAAGAGGTTGTGAGAGTGTATGATCTTTCTGGTCATTTTGAAATCCAATGGACTTCTTATTTTAGAGCACTGACTATTTAATTTGCCTGGAACACTATTTGTAGTAGAAGTTTACTCAGCAGAGAGGTTTCATAACATTCTGAAATACCCTTGGAGATCCCAAAGAGCTGTCAAAATCTAAGCCACTCGTTAAGCAATACTGCTCACTGATAAATGCTCATTCAACATACATAAAATACGTACCATCAGAAACAGTTAAACCAATACACAGTTTTCATCAAAATTCTTTCTTCCTCCCTCTATGACTTCTGGCCTATCAAATATCCAAGGAAGACTGTAGAGTTCACTAGGGATTCTCATAAAAGATAATGGCTTTTTTATTCTTAATTTATTCAAATATTTTTCCTTCTTTAAGAAGTATTTTCTGAGGTGACAGAAGTGGAGTCAATGGTAAAAAGTCTCTTAAGCATGAATAAAAATGCTACAGTAGATATCACTTGCACATTTATGAAAACTTTAGGCTTGTGCTGTCACATAAATTGAAAAAATATAACATCTGTGTATATCAAAAGATTAGCAAAATCTATTATCTGTCAGTTTAAACATCACTCTCAAAAATCTTACTTCACCAAGTACTTGGAGAAAATCAGGCCAGTGGCTGATAGAAGGTTTTTAAAAATCCAGGGTGTTTTTAATTTTAAAGGCAAAAAACTTCATAGAAACTTATTTGTACACTTATGAAATTGCTCTTATAAACAGCAGAAGTCTGTGAATCAATCCATCCTTTTCTTAATTGAAGATGACCCGCATAAAATACTGGGAAGTGTATCCTACAGCATCGGAATGGGTGTGGCTGCCACTGCTATGCTTTCAATTGCACACTCATCAGTGCCTCTGAGGATCCGGAAGTAGCCGTTCTCACCCCAGCTTGTGCCCCAGCTGTTTTTCACAATCCAGTAATCCCTCCCACTGACTGAGTCTGTGCCGTAGCCCACGAGCAGAACAGCATGATTTGTCAGCTCAAAGGGGTTGAAAGGGTCTCTCAGCCCAGTGTGGTGGTAGACCCCTTTGTGGTAGTGCATAAAATCATCGTAGACTTCAAAAGCAACCGCCATGGGCCCATGCTGGACCAGTTCCAACTTCATCAGGGCTTCATTGCAGCCCCCATAAAACCCCCCCACGTAGTGGTACTCAGAGGTGTAGTAACGCATACAGTCCTCTTTCATTTTGCAAGGCGTATCAGTGCCCTTGTAGGGGAAGCAGGATTCTTCTACCAGCCCAAAATCTTGGGCGTACTTTCCCGCGATGAGGTATGGGAAACCACCTTCACAACCTGAATGTGAATAAACACGCAATGACTTATTAGAAAAGAGTGCATAAGAAATTGTACCACTTCCTATTTTTTTCTTCTCTAATTCATTATTTTTTATTTGTTACCCCTGGAAAGGTGTTCTTAGCTTACATGCCACTTCATTCATCCATCTGCTTGACGTCCAGCTAAGCATCCTCTCACCCTGTCTGTTTTACAAATATTTATTTAGCACCCAAGCTGGAAGGTCATTGTGACATACTGGCTAACTGGGGACACCCTGAAGCTTATACAGGTTCAAATCCGAAGCTGTGCGAAGAATTTAACTTCTCTGTAATTCTGTTTACTTATCTATAAAATATGAATAGTAATAGTACTTTCCTCAGGGGATAAACACATGACTTCATGCAAAAACTAAAATTTAATGGTTACGACCACTATTAAATAGCAGATGCACACCTCAGCTCTTCCTCAAGTAAATCCTCCCTGGCAGTCTCTTGCCAACAGTCACATTTCCCTGTGAGACCTAAGTCTATGATACAAGTCCATAATCTTGTACTTTTTATTATCTTGGTTCCTTTCATCATTATAGTTATTTAAATCCTATATCTCTCCATTAACTGTAAGCATCATGAGGATGAGGCCCAACTCGATACACTAGGATAAGCCTAGCACTCACATGGCTGGTTTTTGCTAAGTATTTCAGAAAGAATGAAAGGTTCACTGACAACTAATCATTTGACAGTGTTTTCACTGGAGAGCTAGTGAACTTTCCAGTGGCCAAATCTAGGGCTGACAATGGAAAATGTTGAAATAGTAATATTTCTCTCTGAATTGGACTCATGAGTATAGCTGGTCTTCCTAGATAAACATGGTGATTCTGGAAGCCTAATTACAGAACTTAAAGAAGAAATCATTATTAGTATGGTTTTAATAAGAACTAGGTTTTGGAGCGAGAGCATGGCTGAAATCAAAACTCTAATACTCACAAGGTGAATCACCTTCAAAATATTATAAATCTTCTTGCACCCAATATAAATCTTTTTCTGCTAGATGGGGAAATACCTTCTTCTCATGTTTCTGAGCACTGTTAGGTCATGTATATAAGACGCAGTACTCACTTAATGTATAACTATAGACATTTTGCAAGATGTTGCAATAAACTCCAGGAGAAACCATCCATCAGCAAGTGACATATGCACCTAGGTTTTGCACTGCAGAAACTGCTCTCTTTACTGTGGTATCCTTTTGCTTCACTATTGATAGCCAACTATATACAGGTAAATAGTTCATAAAATAACGCTGAGATATAATAACACTTACCCTGAGCATATTGGCTACAAGATACAATCTCCTGAGGACTCAAGATTGGGGTCTGAGTGTTGTTGGTTAATATACGGATTCTTGCTTCTAACATACCCACAGAAGCAAATGAGTAGCAGCTTCCACAAGATTCTGCAGATGGAAAAGAAACACAACTAGTTTCCAAGAGACATCTGATAAATCATACAAAAACCTGAGTGGATATGATGCACCATATATAAATGTTGTTGTTCATAAGGTTGCTCACAATATACAGTAGAAGATTCAATAACAAATACGATATATGAGATCCATTTGACAGTATTCTTGGTGATGATAAAAAGATTTATGTCTACAAAATTGTAAGCCATCATATTGAGAAGAAGCTTTGGATAGATACACGTGACCTGGGCTTGTAAATATCTCTAGTGCATGGGATACTTATGTCCCCCAAAACTCATGTTGAAATCCCAACCCCAAGGTTATATATTATCAGTGCCCTTTAAAAGAGCATCCAGAGAGATCTCGCTTCCCTTCTATTTTTTTTTTTTTTTTTTTTTTTTTTTTTTCAAGAATCAAACTCACCACTTTGTGCTTGCCAGGCAGACGCTGTGCCGCTGAGCTAAATCCCCAGCCCCTCGTCTCCCTTCTAATGTGTGAGGTCACAGCAAAAGGCAGTCTACAGGAGCCCAAAGGTGGATTATCACCAGAGACTAAGGACTGCTGGCACCTTGATCTTGAATTTTCTACCTCTCGAAGTATGAAAAATAAATTTTTATTGTTTCCATAAGCCACTCTGTTTGACTGTTTCTTAAATGTAGCAACTTGAACAGATTACGACAAGCAGCATTTTTAAAGTATGTTGGGTGGAACTAGCCCTGAGAACGCACAGGTGTGGTACGTTTTGGAGGGCTAGACTTAACCTGCATGCAGGAGCCAGACACAAGACAGCCCAAGAAAGGTAAAAGAGAAATTAGACTGATGAATAGTGTATGCAAGGTAGGCAATGAGAAGGTGCAGACAGTCAGAAGATGAAAAGTTAGGGCGGAAGAGAAGGTCGGGTAGAAGAGAAGCCTACCTATATTAAATACCTCCCTGCTATCTGAAGGACAAAATCAAGTTATCTGCTAGGAATACAGTTGCTATTCAAGAAAAGGAAAAACATGTTGTATTGTATCATGAGATAATCTATATGAATTTTTTTTCAAAATATGTTGGTAAAAGATATAGATACAAGAAAATTTAGGCATCAGAACTGGGGCTTCCACTTGTTAACAGATTTTGAAAGAAAAGTACATAGAATTTTAAATTATTATTTAATATCTGTTATTTCACCTCTTCTTTATTATTTTACTTCTTTCACTTCTGTCATGGCCACAAAAATTACATGGAAAGATGCTTGTACTAAATCCAAGGTAAATCCTACACAAAGAGCACGTTATTAAATTTATTAATATTAGTTTTACCAAATTATTTGAATGATTTGAATGGTGAATATCCCCTATGAATTCCATTATGAACAGTCAATTATATAATTCTAATTACTCATTCTACATAAAAGAAGTATCTTTAGTAAATCTCAATTAGTGCTTTAGCAACTACCTTCTTTAGAAAGAAAAGTATTCAAAGGTATTAGGCATTCAGAACATTACTAGGGGCCCTTTTTTCCCTGCTCCAGATAATGATCTGTGGCCCTCAGAGGCAAAGGAAAGCCAGGGTGTTCTATGCTCGGCCACTAATGTCTGAAACACTCTTTGAAATACTTAAATCATTTCCCTCCAAGTAAACTGTGCATTTGCTTCAGTGTTCAGAGGAAATAGCCTGACGCAATGAAGAAACAACACTTGTTTGTGGAAAGGAGTCAAGGAATGAATAACAGATACATACTTATTCCCAAGAAATAAAGTGAAAAGAAACATGCAACCTTATTTCTAGAGTCGTTTTTGTATTAAAACCTATCATTCCTGATGCTCCTCAAAATTCTCTCTCTAAAACATGTCTCAAACTTATCCATACCATGTACTCTTTTTGTACCATATCTCAGTCATGGAGATCAGAAAAGAAACCTTTGTAAGAGGGCCTGAATCCATTTCCTATGCAACCTAATCACTTGATGATGTGGAAGTGAGGCACAGAAAGGAGCCATGACCCACCCAAGGTCACACAGCTAACCACAGATGGCCGATGCTGGGAGCCTTACATCTCCTACTGCAGGATGAGTGTCCTTTGCAGTCTGTAAGTCTGAATTTACTTTAAAGCACTTTCAGAATTTCTGTCCCTGTCATAGTCATTGAATAGAAAGACACTTAAATGTTTTGTTTTTCAAACAATCCAGGTAATACTGCATTTAGGACCTCTCTTACATATGATAGAATGTCAGGGGAACACACAGCCAAAGCTGTTGCTCCCTTCACGAGAAACCAAAGTCTTATACAAACATCAGACTTACATTCCAAGTGAGTTGGGAAAGGGTCCCATTTGGCCATCTTGCTTTCTTAGCATCCTGCTTTCTCAGCAGCCACGGAAATAATCTTTCACCGTGAATCATTAAGCCCTCATTATCTGGCATTCAAACACTATGGAAGGGATGGGCCACCAGCATATTCAAGGCTTCAGAATGTTCTTTGTTAATAGAGAAATCAGAGGAATAGGACAGAAGATAACCCTCAAGCAGAAGGTCAGCTGTCAAGGTCCCTACGGCCTCATTTTAAAAGGCAAGGCTTGGCTAGACTCAAAAAGGAACATTATCAGCTGGACTGGTGACACACAGGCCTAGTCCACGATCCCAACCCTCTGAGAAGCCCATGCAGGGTATCACCAGGTCATGGCCAACCCAGAACTAGTGAGATCTGGATTTTCAAAAATGCAAAACAACAACACTTCACCAAAAACAAACAGAGGAGACTATTACCCATTAAGAGGATTACAATGCAATAAAAATATATGGACTTACGTTCTCTTCTTTCCCTCCTTTGTTTCACTGTGTGACCCAGGGCAGGTCATGAGACCTTTGGGAATTTCTTTTTATCTTGTGTTCAGGATAGATCAGGTGGAGCAGATAATTTAAAATCCCTTCCTTTCTACTCAAATAAACAGCACTTAACTCCAAATTGTAAATGATTGTAAATATTAGGAAAACATGCTGCATTTGCTGGTTAATGTGACCCATTACAGCCACTCCTGTCTCACACACAGTGATCGCTGAAGGCAGCACTGTGAAGACAGCACCATGAGAGGAGAACAAAGAAGTCCATCTCATCCGGTTTCCTAGCTGTTGTTCCCTCTCACACCCCTAAGTACATCTAGCAATTAGATTTGCTCTTAAGGCTGTTTTCAGGTAAAAAGGTGAAAGCTCACGTGTCCTTCCAACATTTTCTTTCTATCATCTTGGGTTACTCTTCAGAGAGAAATGTTGTGTATTCTCTTAACCGTGGCTAACTCAGAATTCAGAATTACATAGAACACTGGTATTTTTAAAGTGAGTGGAAATTTCCAAGTAGTGCAATTAGGAGGAAGAGAAACTAAGTGTTCTTTCCTAATCTACAGTGCAAAAAAAAAAAAAAAAAAAACAGAAAGAAAGTAAAAGAGGAACATTTTATATATGGTTTCCTCAAGTACTTGACATGATAGTACAATTCAAAGCAATTAATCCATCCAAGCTTTGTGCTTTAAAATTGCCATTTGTTTGTACAAGTTATATTCATAACACTTTAAGAGAAGGATACATGGAGACAATAATAGCTTTTACCAAGGTACAAAAAAACTGAGGTCAAAGAATTCTGTTTTAGAAAGTCTAATTTCCTTCCCCTGAATTATTGTCTCATATCCTTTGTCAATCTTTCTCTTGGGAAGGGAACAGAATTAAACTTTTCCTTCTGACCTATCCTGTTCTCTCACTGAATTTTAAAAATTCTTCATTGAAAGGAGTTGTCACATTTAACGTTTTGTGTGCAAATCTTCCTAAATTTTAAATTTCTAGGACAATGACTGTACCATATTAGTCTTTATACTCTCTGCCATTATAAAAACATTCTGACTTAGATTAAGTGTTCTATAAGCAACAAGAGACGCAAAACTATATCATCAGTAACTCACATGATGGAGCACTAACACGCCAGGCCTTCCATAATAAGTTAAGACATGATTTGTATCATTTACTTACTCTTCCGAAATAAGCACAGAGGATTTGTTCAATGATGGAGTGCATTTTAATCTTCTCCTAATATTAACCCTTTATTTTCACTTTCTCTTTGTTTCTCAATCACATTCAAATTTTTATCATTTCTAATTTCACCTTTCCAAAGCTGTCTCCAAGAAACAGAGAAAGAGGGGATAATCTGAGGATCTACACTTCTCTACGGTGGATGAGTCCTAGAATAACTGGCAGAAAGGCAAAGGGACGAGATAGCTGGTGTCAGAGGAAGGACAAGAGACTTGCTGACTGGCTGCTATACCTGCTTAAAGTGCCCCACCCAGAATCCACAAGAACTGGAGCTTAAAGGAACAGGTGATGAAAGAGCAGAAGTGGAAGAGGTTGATGTCAGTACATTTTTAGGAGCAAGGAAAAGAATTTATCCTTTGGTATTACAAATTTATAATCCTTCCAAAATACACTAATTAGAGAGTTTCCCTACAGCAAATGTTATACAACTATTTTTTTTATAGAAACACATCCAGCATGTAAACTACTCTTTTTAAAGTGAACAGAGAAATAAACCTGAGTATGGGTTGAATATTCCTTACCCCAAATGCGTGTGACCAGACATTTTCAGGTTCTGGAGCTCTTAGGTTTTGGAATACGTGCAGACTTAAACTGAGCATCACTAGTGAAAAAACCAGAACTCCAAAACCTAAACCTTTGTTGGAATGACACTTCGGAACCCAAAAATGATTCTCCAACTAACTGTTTGCTGAAACTAAGATAATTCACTGACAAGTGAACATAAAAGAAGTTCAAGTCATACTATATCAAATTTCTGAAAATAATTGATAAAACTCAATTATTTAGCAATCCTGAGCTCTGCTTCCAGAGCATGACTCAGGAACTGGCATAACACCACAAGGTACATATTCTGATATGATGTGAATGAAAATGTTCTTATGAAGCTCAGAAAACACAGGACAAAAACTTAAATATGTATTTTCTGGGCTCATATAATAATTAAAGACCAAATGATGGGGGGAATGGGAGGACAGATGGCAAAGAAGGATTTTAGCAAACTACTTGCAGAAAAAAGGCCAATTTTAATTATATACAATTCTTTGTCTCCACAACAGGTTCTCCTACTGGAGGGGCAAATGATTTGGTTTCCTTATCATCCTGGTTGCTGTGAGCTACCTGAAACATGTACTGAGAAGGATGTTAAAGGCGTGCCGAGCTCACGTGGATAGCTTATCTATTACTCAGGGTTGTCAATGGATACAAGAGGAAGCAGTGAGGATTCACAGGGCAGATATTTTCCATGTCTTTACTAAAATGGGTCATGCCCATCCAATTTCCATATCCCCTAAACCAAGCCACAGGCTGTTATGTAACAAATACTGAATAGTTAAGAATAAATTAATAAAAACTCAGACAGTATTATTATTATTATTAGTAGTAGTATTTACCTTGGTTTCGAACAGGGCTCACAAAATTGATACCGTCAACATTTCTCCAGTCCCAAGATGTTGGCAACTGTAAAATCTTTTGCTGTATTTCAGCAGTCAGTGGTGCAGGTTTGGGCCTAGGATGGAAAGATATATTTGACATCAACATATACTTCTCCCTTCAAGGATGATTTTCTAACCTCTAATTCCATGATTTCAACATCAGTCTACCTAGCCATCTATATTCAGGCCCCCAAAGCACTAAAAGCCTTGTCCTAGGAATGTTTCAATGTGTCTATTATGGTTTGTGTCTTGATGTTCCCCCAAAGCTTCAGGAGGTCATGGGGGTGGGCTTTTTGGAAGCTGTTGAATCTAGAGTTTGTGACTGGTTCATCATCTAGTGCTAGGATTAACAGTGTGAGTGCTACATGTGCCCTAGGGCAGGTACCCTGCCTACAATATAAGGGAAGGAAGAGAGGCCCGCTCCTCTCCTTTTGCTCCTGTTGCTTTTTCTGTTTTCTGCTGCCATGAACTGCTGTCCCTCAGCCATGCCACTCTGCCTTGGAGCCAGCTGATTTGGACTGAAACCTCCATAAACTGTGAGCTAAATAAACCTTTCCTTCCTTAATTTGGGGTGTCAGGCATTTTTTCCCAGAAACAAGAGAAAAGTAACTAAGATAGCATCTGTTACACAATGGTTTTCATTAACTATTTCTTTTTCAGTATCCAGTCATCTTTCCTTTCAATGACATTGATTTTGTTTATCACTGTGATGGAATTTTTCATACGCCTGGACAGCTGCACTTTCTCATTGGCTCTTGACAGATTTTGACCAAGAAGGGAGAGAGGAGGAGGTGAAAGAGTATACAGAAGGTGCAGGACTTGCAGAAGTCTGACCCAGGAGACAGTGGGTTGGTTATAAAAGTGAAACTGACAAAGAAAAACAAAGGTCAAAGTATAAGGTAGGCAGGCTCGCTCCACAAATGGCAGCTAAAATTGTTCCATCACTATAGTGCTACATGTTGTATGAGATAGCTGAAAGCAAGACACACAAAGGAAAGTTGCCTGGGATGGTGAATAAAAAGACATTATTTCTGGAAATATGAAAATTATTCTAGAAGCATCTCTGTATTTAGACTTAAAACACACACATACTCATATTGTGCACATACTCATAAACGTGAACATACACAAGTGCACAGCACTCTAGCCCTAGGCTTCTCGGGGTTTCCAAGTCAGCCAAATGCCAGCAGTGCTGCATCTCGGTGCTGCTGCTCCTTTGATCCAAAACCCCTGTTGTCGTCACTTTGCATTCTCAGACTTTTCTGCAACTTATAATTTTAAAAACTGCTCACAAAGCAACCTCAGTCAACCAGCACCCAAAGAAAACTCACTTTCTCTCTCTTCCTCCCTCTCTCCCTTCTCTTTTTCCTCTTTCAATTCATTCCTTAGGACATTATTTTTATATTGTGTCAACATTTATTCATTTTTGTCACTGTACACCGTTTGAATTTACTTTACTTGGTACTGTCAAACCCCACTATTCTAACTTTTCAGGAGTTACTCAGTAGGTTTCTTCTAGGTCCCAGTTTAGTCAATAATTGACCAAAGGTTTCCTGTGGATACTTCAGGCCCCCCACACCCATTCCCCAGGGACTTCCTCTCTCATAGAGATGACGTAAATTGAAATTATGACACAGTGTGAGATGAAACAAAGGCAAGGCACCCCCAAATTAATTCAAGAGTAGCACAATCTTTACAATTGTTTGGCATAGATTTATTATGTAAACAAATATAATTATTTACTAAAATGCTGAATAAACTGAGGACATTTGTTTGGAATTCTGATACAGAGAAGATGAGGCAGATTATTATTTAATAAAATACTGAATAAACTGAGGGCATTTGTTTGGAATTCTGTGATACAGAGAGGAAGATGAGGCAGTCTTTGTCCGTGTGGAAGATGTTAACACGCACAAAGCACACAAAAATTGCTGTGACACACACTGCATCAATATACACACACCGCCATCAATATACACACACCAAACAGCCAAAGCAAACCAACATCCAGCATGAGCAGGAAGGCTGACTGCGATGAAAATGAAGAAATGAAAGAAGAATGCAGGGATGAGGAAGTGAGAACTAAAATATTTTTAAGGAAATTATACATTATTGGTTCTTTATATTTTCTTTCTGGATCCTTTAGGAATCTGGCAAAAATTCCGGACTCAGCAAGATGCTGACAATAAATTTTGTCTATAATTTGAGCAGGTTCAAAGACCCCCTAAACCTCAGACCAAGAAAATACAAACTGAAACAGAAAAATGCTTTGAGAATTTCCACTACACCACTGGATTTTATGACAGAACAAATGTATATACATAAATGCAACTGAAAATCTAGCAGCCAGATTGCATTATGAATATTTTCTCATCCCTTGATTGCATCTTACTTTAACCTTTCCATGGAACTTTTGTAGTAAAAGCAGCCCTTCACAAAACTAACCTTTCTCCAAACCAAAGGTGGTGGAGGGGACAGAGGGCCTAAGTAAGTACTGAAAACTTACTCAGAAATGTGACACACGGCAAAGTTGTGTATAAGGCTCAGCTCTTCCAGATAGAAACCAGTCTCCTAGACACAAATGCTAATAATACCCACCTTCTAGAGACTCCTTTGGGGTTTTGTTGTTAATTAGGTCTCAAATGCCCACTTCAAACAGACACATTAGGATCCACTCAGAGAATTCACGAGGGGGCTATGATATGTTTCCTTTCTCAAATTTGAGTAACTAGAGTATCTTGTGGAGTAGATACTCCCTAGAATTTGCTTTGAGAAATGTCACAGAAGATTCTTTTGTGAAAGAGGAAGAAACATGCAGATTATCTTAGTTGGGTAAGAAATAATTCCACAGAGTCCCTGCAGATGTAAGGTTACTGATGAGTCTTAGTCACGTGACTGATCCATCGGGAGTCTGCTTCATGAATAATCATTTGAACCATGAACTCTTGGAGTTATTAGGGAATTGCATTTTCTGAGAACTAAATAATATTTCAAGATATAAAGGTAAAATAAACTACTTACATAATTTATTGACTCTCACTTGCTCCTTATCATTTCAGTTCTTCCCTTTACTCATATTTTCAATTTTTCCTGAAACAAGTTCTGGTGTTACTGGAATATCCTTGGCCACTTAACAAATGTTAAAGGACTTTGTATAAATCCTTTGCTAGATCTAGCCACAGTTTTGAAAAACAGGTTTTAAATTGGTTAGACAAATTCAAAACGTTATGACCTAATTTCCCAAAAGAAGAAACACACAATGGGGTACGTGAGCTAAAGATGGGAAATACCACCTACGGCTGAGGGGACTGGATGTATATTAATAAATAAGAAGTGTTTGGTTTGGTTTGTTTTGCTGCCAGACCTTACAGATTTCAGATACTAAGGTTTCAGATATCTACAAGTGTCAAATTTGACAGTTAATCATGTGGCAAACTGAGGAACATCTGATGGAAAGGGAGCAGATGAATGAGGTAAAATATGAAGGAAGTTTTCATAAACAATGCATACACTGTTTGAAATCAGGTCAAGGTAGTTAACACAGTTACAGTCAGATTTTGCAGACTTTAAATACCTGATACATTTATTCATCAGTAAATGGACATCAATAGTCATAGCTGAGTACAGTAAGAACAAACTGCCACTATTTTATAGAATGGCTAAAATGAGGACAGGGAGCAGAAGGGACCAAAGACATGCAACAGACACTATGAACATAAAACCTAAGAACAGGACTTGAAAATACGAATAGGAATAGTACGAATAGGAGAGGAGAAGGTTGAAAATATAAAACGTTTATGCCCAATAAAGTGGTGGGCTTCCCTGGGAGGACAGGATTCAACACCAATTAGTGAGAAACAGATATATTTCTTACCTTGGGATTATGTGATTGTGGCCACCACGTCTTCTCATCATCTCTGTCAAGGTAAGAGTCTCATACTCCTTGTACGTAGTTGCAGTCCAAGACTTCTGGATAGCATTAATGGCTTTCACAAAGTTGTGATCATATTTGTAGCGCCTACTGGAATACCTGCCAACAAGTGATACAGCTTCAGCTGAAACCCTGACTGATCTAAACAGACTCCAGTAAGACTGATACTCACACTCTATAGCTGAGTAAAATCTGGACTAGTCTTCCTGGAAGGCAGATTGGCAACATGTATCAATATCCTAAAATCATAATGTCTTCTTTAAAAGTTCAAATTAACTAAGATGCATATGCAGTGATACTGAACAAAATACTTTTACACTAGTAATAGATTGTAAACAACCTAAACAAATCTTTTAGGATAAGGGAGTTATCAATTAAACAGGAGTACTTCTTTAACTGTATATTTTAGTCAATAAAATTATCTACAAAATTATTCAGTGATATGAAGTGAGTTCATGCAACATTAATTTTTTAGAAGCCAACCAATAAAGTTTATATAAAATGAATCAATTTTATTAGATATATTTATATCTATATTATGCCAATCATGGTTCTTTCTGGGTCGTGCCATGAAAATACCCCTTGTCCCCATTCTCTGTAGTTTCTACAATATACCTTCCCAATCTTCATAACGAGAAAAAGAGGAAGACAAGAGAAACTGCATGCAGTGTATATATACAGTATGCACGTAATGCATGTAAGTATGTAGTATATCTATATTTGTAATTGATAAAGTGAGTCTTACACTGTACACCTGTGAGAGTTCACAACTTGAATGCTAGTAAACTGGGGACTTAATGCAGTATGCAAGTATTATAATTACATGACTCAAAAACCATTATTCAGTGTGTGTTTTATATCTTTGCTGTTAAAGTATCTGGATTCTCTTAAGAAATACAGATTGTACCCAACCTAGATCACCTAAATCAGAACCTGTATTTTAATAAGTTCTCAAGGTGATTCATAGTAATACTAAAATTTAAAAAGCACTGTTTTACCTTACACCAAATGCTTGCATATAGACATAAAAAAAGAAATCTGATATAGAAAACACCTTTACAAAGTAAAAAGGACTTGACAGTTCATTTCAAACATTTATCAAAATAATGTGCCAGATACTAGAAATTATAGAACTCACTATATTATTTCTATTTTGAAATTCTGTAGTTTGAGTGTGACTCACTACCGAAGACCTCCATGTGCATTCAGTTCTACACAGCAAGACATCTCTAACCCGAGTAACATCTTAGGTGCACTGGAAACTGGGCTTTTCTCTTATAGGTCACGTGCTGGTAGAGACATTGCTTCAATATAGTCAAGGAAATGCAGAGCACTGAGAATAAGAAAACTATGCAACCACACCGGTAACTTTTCAGTGTTCTAATCAAAGCTCTTCCCCAGTTGTTGAAAATACGAAAGCAGAGCGGTCCCTTCACTAAACAGGCTGAAGGACTGCCCGCGCCATACTGCTGACAGTGCTAACGCAGCAACAAAAACAAGCTACAGCTCTTCTTTGGATACAGGAGTATATTTTAAATTTTAAGTGAAATATTTCTGGAACATTTTCCAAAGCAAAGAGTTACTTTTTCACTAACGGTAAGTATTGAAGAAGCGTAACTGGTCCTACCTGTGCTGCTTAATCATAGCATGCTGTACAACTTTTATGCTGATATGTGCATGACGATAACGACAGGATGCCATCAGAGGTCTTAAAGGCTATTACTTTTTGTGTTTAAGATCCAAGATTTTTTTAAAAAAATGTATCCTGATGTTGGGTGACAGATCATTAAGAGGTAAAGAGACCTCAAAGGTGATTCAGTCCTAATTGCTCATGTTATGGGTGAGGCAGTGCAGGTTCTGAGCACTCCAGTGGGGAGCGTCTTCTCTAAATGAGGCCGAGTCAGAAATATCAACTACAGCAGCACAGCACCTGACATATCCTAAATGAGAAGGTAGCAAGTAAACCGCTTGGTAGGAAATATGCAGCTAAAGAATCAAGCCAAACAAAGCTATTTAAAAACTTAACTCAAAACAAAAGCGCTGACTTAGTCTACAAAGGCACCAGCACTATGGAGCCGAGTGTGATTCACGCCTGGATGCCCCTCTTCCCCCAGCTCTCTGTCTGCAAGCCAGTGTTGCCTGGCTTTGAGTGACATTCATCTACATTTGTAGGGGCTTTTATAACTAATCTAGAAAAAACAATAACATGGGTGGATCTTTCTCTTCAAAATTAAAAAGGCTGAAATTTCTTACTTGTGTAGTTCAGAGTTACTTAGAGTTTAAGAAAAACATTAGCTGTGCATTATAAGCCAAATATTGTCCCTTTACAATACTTGTGGGTGAAACTTAGCCTTCAGTATCTCAGCACGTGACTGTGTTTGGAGATAGGCCCTTTAAAGAGTAATTAAAGTAAAATGGACTCATCAGGGTCAGCCCTCATTCGGCTGTTGCTGTCCTTAGTAACTGACCACGGGAAGGCCAGGTGAGGACACGGCGAGGAGGCAGCCGCCATCTTGGCCATCTGCGCCATCTGCAAGCCAAGGAAAGAGGCCTCAGAAGAAACCAAACCTGGTGATTTCTTACTCTTGGACTTGTAGCCTTCAAACTATGAGAAAGTAACTTTCTCATGCTTAAACCACCCAGTCTATAATAATTTAATTGTATAAATCCTAAAGACTTTGATTTCAGTTACTTATGGACTTACTTAAAATGGACCCAGTCGGTATCACTTATACATATTACAATATAAGCGTATGTATCTACATGTATAATGCAACATATTATCTTTGATAACCAATGAAAATGATCTTCTTTACTAGTAATATGCAATCCTGTGGTTCTTTCTATGAACTTTTTTTAAAGCCATTAATAGTCCATTGCTTTTGGATCATTGTAAAAAAAAACTATTTTTTCTGTTAGTTACATCAGTTAACATGTTTTTGCAATAAAGTTTTTATATTACATGGTTTGTTTCTCAGCCAAATGAATTCAATATAACCCAGATAAAATTATAAAAGTGAATATGCACAAAACAAAACTAAACAGGGGCTCGGGACTTAGCTCAGTAGCAAAGCGCCTGCCTGGCAAGTGCAAAGTCGTGAGTTCGATTCCTGGTACCGGAAGAAAAACGAAAAACAAAAACGAAAAACAAAAACAAAATTAAACGTATATATACTTGTGACAACTCACTTTTCCAGGTGGCTTCCAAGGTGTGCCATGCTCATTTTCACATTTTCAGGGCTTTCCACCTTCTTTCCAATGAAACAGGCCCAGTTCCGGCCCAGTACATCATGCACCCACCCAGTCATTGTCTCGTGGCAGTAACTGATCACCTCGCTGCCCTTGGTTTCATACTGTAATTAAATGACAAAAGAAAGGCCGATTGAAATCGCTGTATAACTCCCAGGTCCATTTCTCTGGCTCTTGTTTACAGTGTAGAAGACCCTTTTTATCTCTTGCCAACCAAAGCAAAAATTTCAACCACTGAGGTCACATTCAAAGAATTATTCTAGAAAACAAAGAGACATGAACTTTTGCATAGTTACTATTACTGCTCACCAAACAAAAGTTAGTTAGCAAAATACTTTCAGGAATGAAAGGACAGGAAAGAAACTCAGATTATTAGAGCTTTCACCCTATGTTAGCCATTTTATGAAAGTTACTTAATTTAATCCTCACAGTAAACCTATGAGGGGGAAAAAACAACAAGCTCTCTTTACCAAGGGACCAAATGGAGGTTCAGCTCGGAAAGAATGAGGATCTGCTGTCAAAGGAGGACCTATCCTCAGTCCATCTATCCATGTTTTTCCAGGCAAAAATTCACATCAAAGACTTGTAGAACAAATAGTAGTAAATTTTCTTTCTATAGAAATAGACCAAAATCACTTTTATCTGTCCATGAATTGATTAAGACCTGCTGATTATGAATAGAGGGCTGCTGTGAGTTGATTATTAACTATAGTATTCTCTCTATTAATATGGCCCTTTGCCATATTTCAATGTTAACACTGAAAAGTAACTATAAAATGATTGACCCAGAATTTGAACTCAGAAGCTATATCTCCAGAGCCTAATCATCCTCACATAATAATACAGCTTCATTAGCAATAAGAGCATAGAGCAAAGAAGGCAGGGGGAAAAGTGCAATGCTATACTTCTGTGGGTAGAGATTTTGACAGAGGCAGTTTCAGCTTCTGCCTTAATTTAATGGTCCAAACTATTTGTAGAACTTTGGGCAAGCCTTTTATCTGGCTTTAGTTCTTTCACCTAAAATGAAGCAACTAGAAAAACTACCCTCAAAGCTATAAACACTGAGATTCCATGACCAAATGGAGATTTGTAAACATTTTCCAGAACAGCCAGACAACAAGCATTTCAGGCTCTCCAGCTATTAAGGGAGGGTTACATCTACTCCTCTCTGCCACCACAGTACAAAGCAGTCACAGACAGCACATCAACAAATTCACGCAGAGATCAGTGATGTTTAAATGAAACTCTTTTTTGCAAAAATAGGCAGATTGGTTTTGAGTTGAGGGGCTACAGTTTGCAGAATTCTAATGTAATCTAATGGATGCTCTATTACTTGTTTGTAGAGGTTGGTAAGCTTCTTTTTGTAATGGCCAAATATAAATATTTTAGGCGAATAGGCTTCTGTCACAGCTATTCAATGCCAACACCACTGTGGTGAGAAAAGTGTGTAAGGAACACATGAATGAACGTGGTGGGCCAGGTGCTAATAATGAGACCTAGCCTGCAGTTTGCCAACGCTTGCTCGAGAGCAGTGAGGGCAGTGCACTGAGCTTCCCATCTGCCATCGCTCACAGATCCAACACTCTGTGGTATACTGTGTTGCTAAGTGGTGATGGTAGGTTAGGGCTATTACATGTATTTTTGACATGATTAGTTTCAACTTTCAATGAGTCTATCAGGACTTAACCCAAGTTGAGGAACATCCATATTATGCTATATAAAACTTTTCATTTCTGTAGATAAAAAAGAGTTTAGTATTGGTGATTTTAGTTTATTGTTTTTATTTTTTGTTTTTGGGGTTTTTTTTGGTACACAGGACCTTATGCTTGCCAGGCAGGCGCTGTGCTGCTGAGCTATATCCCCAGCCCCAGTACTGGTGATTTGATATGAAGTAACCTAAACCCCCTAGACTTCAACTATGAGCTTCTCTTTGGCATTGATTCTTAATCAAATTCCCTTCTCTGTGTAGCTGGTACCCCAGGTAGGGATAGGTCAGTGCCCTTTGGTACCTTTGCTGTTTTAGAAAGTAGTCTGTCAAGGTTTTATGATTTCTTGAGATTTATTTTAGAAATCACCCCCTCATATAAACACAGAAACATAGTACTGCACATAGGAAGACACTCAGCGCAGTGTAACAGAAATGTTAAAAACAGAAAATGAAGTAAAAAGTCAAAAGGTTCAAATATAAATGTTTTATTAACACAAAGGAATAGTATATAGCACTTTGAATACTTAATGAGTTCTACAGGTGAGAAAACAGGCTGGACGGGGCTACCTGCTTCTGCAGATAGAGGTTTAGTAGAAAACAGCACGTCTGCTTCTTTGTATACTATCTGCGGCTGCTTTGTGTTATGGTAGCAGAAACTTCACACTTTGTAAACATTGTACAGATTCGTCATAAATCTTAGAGGTTCAAGAGAACATAAAAATAAATATATTTTCAGGAGACAAAAAAGAGATCTAAGAAAGTGACTGGACTAGAATTTATAACCAAAGATTCCTATAACCAAGATCATCCCCAATACCATGCACCACTTCTTCATATGAAGTATTTAGCCTTCTCAGACAAAAAGCCCCAAAAAACAAAGCTAGTGAGATAACCAATTACTAATATGTCAGAGGGAGAAACCCAGAAATTACGCAGTAAAGGGTTAAAATCCAAGGGGCTTCTACTCTATTATTTAAGCTTCAAAAAATATTTTGAGACAATGTCTCACAAACTTGACCTATTTGGCTTTGAACTTACAATACTCCTGCCTTAACCTGAATAGCTGAGATTTCAGACATTTTTCACCATATTCAGCAGAAACAATGCATTACTGAATAAGTGAATAAGCAAATCTGAAGTACAGAAGACAAAGAACAAATGCCAAGTCCCATTCCAATAGTAGCACAAGAAACTGAAAAAAAAAAAAAAACAAAAAAAACAGTAAATTTATACTTAACAGAAGTGTGATGATGCCACGATATCAGAATCCCAAACTGTGACTCATAGAATGATTTCCGAAATGTCAATTTTCCTCTACAAACCTGGTTTTCTATTGCAAACTTAGGTTGATTTAGATGTTCCAAAAGTTCCCTTGAGCTTTCTAAGTGTACATCCTTCTATCTGTGGTTCTATTAAAACCAATAAAGTCAGGTAAATAACCCTTAATAGAGACACATTCTTACTTATATGCTTAATTTTCTTTAAAAATCACTACTTTGATTTTGTTGGCATAATCCAAAAAGTATAAACATCCTAAAATGTTTCACTTCTGAATGTTGATGGGATTTTCTTTTAAAAATTTTACTTTAAACTACTCTGTAGTTTTTATACTCTAAAGTAATTTGGTGTTTTTTGGAACCTGAAATTACCTTACAAAAAGCAAAACAAGGTTACAGAAAAGATAGAACAGGGCCGTGCAGTACAACGAACTTAGTAGATAAGAGGCATTTCCCAGTTCAGAAGGGAGGAACCTGATACTGTAACTCGAGGGACCACCCACTGTACCTCTATTATTCTCTTGAATATTCTTGAGACAGCTGTCATTTTCCTACTATGGTAAAACCTTAAGAGATTTTTGACATTAGTATTACTTAAGAAGTTAAAGCTCTTGGTCATGTTATCCAAATGGCTGTAAATGCAGTCATTTTTTTCCAAAAGAACTTTCACATTGATCTCTGAGGACTGCTTTAAACAGATGAGATGATTTAAGTTTCCATTCATTTATGCCAATTTCTCCAGAAAGAGATAATTTCTTAAAATTTGAAGAGCTTCCAAATCCTACCCCTTGAAGTCAGAAAACTACCATGATTCAGTAACTATTCACTTAGTTCTTCAAAATTACCATTAAGTTGCCAAACACTCAAAATCCCCTTTCTTAAATTTCCCACCAACTTTTTCAACAGTTTAATTACCTAGAAATACTATCTAATTGAAAAACAACAGCTTGGGAAACTTCAGAACTTAACTTACTCATTGTATAACTTTTACTCCGTGGTTTTTTGACACTTAGGAGTCAGAAAAAAAAAAAAAAAGAAAATCACTTCAGTTTTATTGTGCTATTTCTCTGGCTAATTTAATAGAGTTACAGAATACTGAACTACATATCTTACATAACACATTGGCGAGGGGACAAGTACAGTTCAGAGAAAAGGACCCTGCCCTCTAAAAGTCAGTTCTGCCACTTATTTCTGTAGTCTGTAGTAAACCTCAATTTCTGACTGATACAGGAACGACAGCCATGACATACTATTCCACTGGACTACGATAAGGAATAAAGACGATTTTGAAGTTTGAAAAGCTTGAAATGTTAGGAAACACTGAACAGGTGACAGTATAAACACGGCTGTCTCTTGCCACGCTAAATACAAAGCTAAGACTTTACACATGCCTTCAGGTAATGTATGTTCTATTCTACACTGTTAATTCAGCAGCTGACACTGGGCTCTACCTGTCACACTGGTTTCCGAATTGAGATGAAAAGACCATTTGAGTGTTGAAAAATGACGTAGCTTTTGTTTGTGCTTGCAAAATATGAGTGACTTTAAACACCAGTTTCCACTATTATTTAATAATAAAAGCAATGCTGATGTCCTTGGCAGTTCCACAATCAGATATTCACCTGGAACATACAGTGTGCTAGTTAAGTACTTGTGAGATGGTTAGGACACAGCACATTCCCTCTGACCTGTGCCCACTTTAACTGACTAAAGCATTTTAGCTGATCTACTCAAGCTGATTCTCATAAAATAAAGATGAGGCCTAAGACATAAAGAAACCAAAATCTACCAATATGGTATGTGCATATGAAAACAACAAAGTGCACACTTAAATCTGTTCTGAGTTTTCTTAACCATGATAAAAGACGAATTTTTGAAAACAGATGGTTAGTTTCTAAATTTCTTTTCTTTTTTGAAAGCGGATGTTTTGAATGGTTCTATCACTGTGATAGTCACTTTTTAATCATATTCATCTGTAAAGCAAATGTTGCAGTTAAAATAAATCACTATATTATCATTTCTAGTACCAATCAGCAATTCATCTAAAGTTGTCTAGAGCTATGACACTTCCATACTTTTAACAAAGCTATGTCAAAACCTATTGAAATTCTTTTATTTG